ACGATGTATACTTTATTATATACAAATCAAAATAAAGAAATGATGTTTACCTACTGGGGAAACCCCCCAAAAAAAAACATAATAAAATAGTAAATTACTTGTTAATATATAAAAAATTTCAAGAAAAAAAAATCAAATATGAAATAATATTTTTAATTAATTTTATATATCATAAATTTCAAAGTATATTATAAAAAATAAATAAAAATAAAAATAAAATTTGGTATAAGTTAACAAATTAATAAAAAAACAAAAAAAAACCAAATTATTCTTAATAAAAAAGCTATCAATATTAGTATAAGATTTTAAACAAAAGATAACATTATAAAATAAGTTAATATTCTTTAATTTATTAAAATTTATAAAATATTAATATGGAAAATTTTAAACAAAATATTATAATTTTAGATTAAATAATTTTTTTTTAAGGGCTAAAGTGCGATACACGCGAGGATTTTATTATAGATTAAAGATTACAAATAACTATTACATGAACAGTCTACTTTAACTGATGCACTGCCCTTTAGATTAAATAATTTTATTAACAAATATAAAATATAAAATATAAAAAAATTCATAAATATATAATAAAAAAATAAAAAAATAAAAAAACCTTTATCTAAAGATATTAAATAAAATTTTCAGATCAGATGACAAATTCAAAGTATAGAAGAAAAAAAAAGATATAAACAATATTTAAAAATACAAATATAACTTAAAGAAGAAGAAAAAGAAAAATAACTAGTTTTAATTATATATAAACAAAAGAAATAAAAAATATATTATTTAAATATTCAAATCTAGTAATTATTATTATTATAAATACTTTTATAAAAGTTTTATAAAATAAAATTAAAAAAGATATTAAATAGTTAAGAATATAAAATAATCAAGATTTTATCAAAATAAACTATGGTAATAAATTATAAACAATGAATTCAAATCTTTTAAGAAATGAAAAAAATAAGAAAACAACTTTATTTATTTTTAAGATTATATTTAGATATTATTAAAAATTAATAATAGATATTCAAATATTAATTTAGTTTAATATAAAAAGATTATACTATTATATTATTAATTTTAATATTAAATAAATATAATAAATACTTGTTTGATTATAGAAAAAAAATTATTTTTTAATTTTAATATCAAGAAAGAATTATAAAATTAATTTAAAATAATAATTTAAAAATTTTGTTATGCTAAATTATAATTATTTTATTTATTTATTTATTTTTTTAATATTTATTTATTTTTATTTATTTATTTATTTTTTATTTTATAGAAATATACTGTTTACTAAAAGTTTAAATTAATACAATTTTTATTTTATTTTTTAAAACAAAATAATTAAAAAATAATAAATAAGTAAACAAATAAATAAAATTGAAATATATTATTTTTATTGTTATTTATTATATGGGTTAGTTATAATTCTGATCAGGTTCGTTAGAATAATTTTAAATGATCTGCATAATTTTGATCAAAATTCAGCGTTATCCCGATAAAAATTTATATTAAAGTATTTATATCATTAAAATATTTTATTATGCTTTTTTAATTACTTCGTTGTAAAATGGAAAATTATAGAATTATCGATACAAAATCCTCGAATAATTTACTTTTTAATGTGTTCAGTGTTTCACAACACGTAAAGGGAAATCATTTCTTGTGTGCCTTGTGCATGAATAACTGGAAAATATCAATTGTTGACGATCATGGACGGATCCAAACACCATCACAATTAAACGCCCGTGCCATAACCAAACATTTTCCTCGATCAATAAGAGAAAATAATAAATATAATTCCAAAAAATATAACATCATTACTGTATTTAAAAGAAAAGATAAAGAAAAAAAACTATTTAAAAAAAAAAAAAAGGTGCAAAAAAGTAGAACAAAATACAAAATAATAAAGTTTTTTTTGATATTTCTTTAAATATCTTAATAAAGGCATTTAAATTGGTGTGTTTAATTTATCATATTGGTACAAAGTTTTTATTCAATGGGGTAGTTAGGATATAGATGTTAAACTATATAGAAAGTATTTTGTATTTAATTTTCGCACCATAAAATATCTTACGTTTTCATATAGAATATATAATTGTCCCACACTGTATACCGTAAATCTTATCTTATTTACCTGCCGTACTGCTAACAGCGGTATTATTAGATATCTTTAAATTAGCTAATTCCTTTTCCACCTGTGATGTCGTCCCTGAGTTAGGGGATGTTTGGGTTGCGTTACCTTTCTTGGTAAGCAAAGCTTGGAAGAAGTTCGCGAGAACCTCGTTTTGGGTAGGTGTTGGTGAGATCGCCACATTTGAAGAATTCGGTGCGGAAGTTGAAACTTGAGAAGAAGGTGGAGATGAGGTCGGAGGAACAGACTTGGTCTAAATGATGAATATATTAAATTTTATGATGCTTGGAAAAAATATCAAATAACATATGAAGTATATACTGACTCTGGTTGGTTTGTTAGGCCCACTGGGCAGACTTGGAGCTGGAGCAATATTATCGAGATCTGGAAGGTCTCCGAAATTTCCATAAGTGCATTGAGGAGCGCTCATTGGTCCAACAACTGACGGTGGACGCTCATTATTAGCTTTCAGTAAAGTTTCAACGTGGCGAGCAAAGAATACTTGCTCGTCTTCGGCTTCAATAAGTGTTGGACCACTAAGCGGCTAAAATGCAGGTAAAGATACACCTAAGTCAAGCATCACATAACTAACGATAATACGCTCGTTCAAGTTTCCTAAATGTACCTTGTCATTTTCAAGACAATCAGCAACATCTTCGAATATCTTTTTGGCACTGACAACTTCTTCGGTCCCTTCGTGTACTTCAGTTCGGCCAGTAACATCTATATCCCATCCTTGAAGCAATCCATCAAAATTAAATCCCTTTCCCATGACTTTAATCTTTTCCCAAGAATCCCAACCGGTGGGAATTAACACTGTTTCACGCTCAACAAATGTTGGCTCGACATTAAAAGCATAGGAAGATTTCGTATCACCGGAGGAAACCTTAGATCCAAGAAGTCGATGAAGAATATACTTGCGTAAATTAGTGAAAGTCTCTGGTTTTCGAGTGGTTGTATAAAAGAGCGCAGCACCATCTGTTAAGTACAAAATTTAGATGAGATTCCGACGTATTTCCACTGTTCCCACCAAAAATTTTCATTCACTCACATTTGAGACAAATAGTTCTCAAACATTGCTGTATGAAATCAAATTGTTCTTCTTTATAATCTATCTCACAGACTTTGTCAGACTAAATAATGTTGAGTAGACATAGTTAATATTAAATACATCACGTGGGTCTTATTAAAAACATGATTTACCTTAGTACAGATTACCACCAATGGTACACCCAAATTTGTAGTTAGAGTGCCGGGGCCCAAAGGCAGTGTAACTTCTTCTTCGTCTTCAGATGTTCCATTCGTAGTGGTTGCATCTGATCCGTCATAATTCCTCACAAAATGCTCAACTTCCATTGACAGAAATAAGTTAATAAGAAGAATTTCAAATAGACATTTACTAGTTCTCTCATACTTACGAGCTTCCTTCAATTCATCAACAATGACTTTTCCCTTAGTCCATCCATCCTTAGACCCACTTGCACCCTCACTTTTGATATATTCAATACCATTCTCAACAAATTTAATCCATTGTTGTAAATTCTCAATAAAACTCCAAGGGCGTGCCCAATCTAAAACAATTACCACAAGGGAGTCTGGAAGGGTAGTGGAATTAAGGGAGAAACGAAGAAGAGGTTGATATGCTTCTTGAGAGCCTCCCAATTGATATAAGCCAAGACGAGCAAGCGTATCTGAAAACAAAAAAGAAAATACAATATCATCGTTCCGATTGTAGAAATCAATTCTCTTAATACATTTCAGTGAAAAATCCACCAACCTTCCGCTTCGTCATCTTTTATTTCAACAAAGGTATAGCTTAATGCCAAGTCGTTGTTAGAAGATTTCTTTAAAACGTCATCTGTGCTGGTACCAACACTCTTTGAAACACTATCATTAGTTACTGGAACTTCATAAACGTCTTCATCCTCTTCTCCCTTAAGGTGTCTGATGAGAGTGGACTTTCCAGATTCTCTATCACCTTTGAATAAAAGATGACAGTTGACCTCACGGTTAATGTAAGTTTAAGTGAAATACGCCTCTTATAAATGTCAAGTTTATCTTTCTCTTAATCTTGAAATAGTCAAACAAACCTAAAATCAATAAATTTTTGGTAGGAACCATTTTCGAAGAAGCTACACTTTTGAGAATTGAGGACCATATGTTTTCCTGTTGGTCGCTCGCTGAAGTAGCGTCATTATTTTGTGATAGACTGTCATTGATACTTTCTCCTGTTTTCGGTGCCATTATTATGCTTGGTCGTTAATATTTGAATAAAAGAACGGTTTTTTTTTCTTTACGACTTTCGAGTAAGGTTTGTTAAGTACTATTGTAACGTGAATTTTCAATAGTGTCACGAGTTATAACTTTATAAGGAGAAAGGTGAGTTGTGCAATAACTGATAACTTAAGGATTAAGATCCGCAGTTTTAAAGTTAAAAATTTTGTTGTGGCGTATATCGATTAAAAGTAGCTAGTAGTGTAATTGACCATGTTGAAAAATTGGTGCTTTTAAAGAACTTTTATGGTATATTTTTAAATGCGCTGTGTTTCAACAAACTTATGATTACGTGAAATTTTATGCTCGTCGGACGCAACAAAAACAAAGAAACAAAAAACTCTTTCCCTCGTTATTCCAATTATGATATCATAACATTCGTCCTTATGAAAGTGATCCCCAGGTCCCTGACTTTCTCAAACCATTAAACCATCATTATGGAAGTGGTTACACGATCAAATGAAATGGATTAATTTATCCGAATGTATCTTGAAGAAATAAGTTCTTAAAGCAATTGATAATTTTAATATGATAAATTATTTTTTATTATAAAAAATTGTATTATCTAATATTTATTATTAAAAAATAAAAAAAAATTTTTATATTTAATTAATTAATTTATTATTATTATTAATTTATTTCTAATTTATTAATTATTAATCAAAAAACAATAATATAATATAATAAAGTTAAATATTTAAAAGTAATAATTAATAGATTTAATACTAATTTATTTAAATAATAAAAAAATCTTTATTAAAATCAATATATATTAAAAATAATATCAAATAATTATAGTAAATAAAAAAATATCATTTGATTATATCTACTTTATTAAAAATTTTCTTTTATAGTAATTTTTGTTAAAAAAAATATTTTATATTCTTTATTACAAGTAAGTTTTAGTTCAGAAACTTAAATTTTTAAGATAATCAATAGAATATAATTTTTAAATGAAATTTATTCAAATTTAAAAATCTTATTTATAATATTTTATATTATGGCATGTAATACAGTAAGTAGATAAAAGTTTATGAACAACTTTAAAAATTAAAAATTAAATTAAATTAATAAAAAATTAATTAAATAAAAAATATATTTA